GAGACACCGTTGGGGTGTCTTGACTTGGCCGAGACACCGTAGGTGCCTCAGTTCAGCTTTGAGACTTTTTTCAATGCCCATTTGACTGTTTTCGCTGTAACTTCTTTGTCTGAACTCGGATCTGAGTGATTCCAAATGCGTTGGAAGTCTGACGAAGAATTCTATCAGTTCCAATAGTTAGATTATCTGTAGAATGAACGAGACACAAAGGGCGTTGTTCCTTTTGTAAACATCGCGGAGTTCTCGATTAGCCTGTGTCTTCGTTATTCCGAAATCCTGTCAGCTCACGTAGTTCATCGGTTCACTTCAAGCGTTCACCGACATCAGTCGAACTCCTGTGAACCAAATAGTGGAGACCTATAGGCAATTTTCAATGCCTACAGATACCCCCTCCAAAGCGTTCCAGACTCGTTTCTTTTATAGAAGAGGCTGGAATACTTTGGATGTGATTGATCCAGCCTTCAGTCGGTGTAAAGGACCTGTAGTTAGCTTCAACTCTTGGCTCCTTCGATTTTTGGTCTATTCGATGCTTTGACGAATAACCGAAGTTCTTCCGGCGCTGCGTTTATCGCCTGGCCATCGTCGGAATCTCGAGTCTATCACTAGTGAGTTGAGTTTGGCTCGTGTCATTGAGTTGACTTTGAATTGACTACCTCCATCACATTGTATTGACTTAGGGTTTCAGATCACCGTATGTTGACTTTTTGTCGCAACGCGTTGAGTGGCGTTGACCTAGGGTTACGCGTTGACCGGCGTTGACCTTAGGGTTTCGAACGTCAAGCTTTGACTTTTTTTGGTCGCAACGTGTTGACTGGCGTTGACCTAGGTTTACGCGTTGACCGGCGTTGACCCTAGGGTTTCAAACGTTGAATGTTGACTTTTTGGTCGCAACGCGTTGACTGGCGTTGACCTAGGGTTACGCGTTGACCGGCATTGACCCTAGGGTTTTGAACGTCAAGTGTTGACTTTTTGGTCGCAACGCGTTGACTGGCGTTGACCTAGGGTTACGCGTTGACCGGCGTTGATCCTAGGGTTTCGAACGTCGAATGTTGACTTTTTTGTCGCAACGCGTTGACTGGCGTTGACCTAGGGTTATGCGTCGACCGGCCTAGGGTTTTGAATCGTTCGGTGTTGATTAGTATGGATCTTGTCGAAATATCCAACAACCGACGAAAAGTAGGCGAATTCGGACTTCAAAAAGGGTTCGAGGGGGCTCGAATTGGGTTGAGACACCCAAGGGTGTCTCAACTTGGCCGAGACACCCTTGGGGTGTCTCGGCCAAACCGAGACACCCTTGGGGTGTCTCGGTTCCAAGGCCGAGACTTTCCCCCTCCCTCTCTTTTTTCTTTCTTTCCTTTCTTGTTGTTTCCCCTTTTGTTTTGGTTTTGTTTCCTCTTTTGTTTTCCCCCTCTTTCCAAATTTTCAAAAGAGAATCCTTTTCCTTCTCAAACTCCTTCTTCCTCCTTTCATCCATACACCATTATTTCTCTCTTTCAAGAACTCTAAACTTATACAAAAAAATTTCGGATTTTTGTTCCCCTCTTGGCCGAAATTAATCTCTCCTCCAAGCTAGGGTTTCATCATCTTCAACCTCAAGGAAAGCTTCTTGATTTGGTAAGTTCCCCTTCACAACTCTTTTCTTTTTCAAGAAAGGTTATAACTTTATGCTTGTAATGGGGATACAACATGAACCCACATGCCAAGATCATAACTTTTTATTCTAATGACGATGGGTTGTGAGTATGAACCGAAATTTGGGGGTTTTTTATGCAAACTTGCAATATAGCCGAAATTGGGGGGCTTTTGCACAAGAGGGCTGAAATTTGTAGGGGCCTTTACGCAAAATGGGACTGAAATTTTGAGGCTTGGACTTTAGACGCCTTTACGCAAAATGGGACTGAAATTTTGAGGCTTGGACTTTAGACCCACTTGGCCACAACTTTGAGGTGTGTTTCATGCAAAAAGACCACAAATTATTGAGGGTTTTATGTGCAAATATGGGCCGAAATTCTTTTGGGGGCTTATTTGTAAAATTGACCAGAGAATTGAGGTGGTGTTCATGTAGTAAATGACTGAAATTAGGATCTAGATTACATGCTCATTTGGTCGAAAATTGAGAGGTGTTTGTATGCGAAAGATTCAATGTTGTTTGAGGGGTTTATTTGCAAAAGAGCAACCCACAAAGTATGGGGGGTTTATTTGCAAAGGGGCTGAAATTTTAGGACTGAAATTCCAAAAGTTTAGATCACAAACCTATGACCAAAGTTTTGAGAAAGGTGTGTGGAAACTAACCCGAAATTTGTGGAGGGGTCTATTTGCAAGATTGGCTAAATTTTACAAAAAGGGTTTATTTACAAAATTAACCAAAATTGTGAGGTATTGGGGGTGCTATATGATCAGATATGATGACCATGACCCAACTCAAGCGTGTCCTTGGCCTGAATCTAGCCTTGAACACGAGGGGTGTTTTGGGTATTTCACCAAAATTTACCGCGAAAATGACAATCATTGTTTCGCATGCACGAAATTTGTAGGTTTAATTAGACTTCAACTATAAAATCCTATTTATTCATAGGACTTTAGTTCAAGTTCTTAATTTCCCTTTTAAATTTCGTGTATTCATATTGTGCCTGACTTACTGCTTTTCATCGCAGGTTTTCGATGCCTCCACGTCGATCTCGACCTCCTAGGAGTCGATCCCGTTCGCAGCCTAGTGAGGAAGAAGTTCCCACAGCATCCTCCCCTCCAGCGGCTTCCTTTTTCGGGGGTGAGAATCTTTATTTCTGTATCCCTGATTGATCCCTTCGCGGGTCATTAAGGAAGAACCGACACCCTCCTTCGCGAGGATTGAGGTTTCAGGACATTGGTGGTTCCGTACACCCTCATTTGGCCACTTCGCGGGTCATTCGGGAAGGGCCGACACCCTCCTTCGCGGGGGTTGAGGTTTCGGACTTATTTTGCTTAGCCAATTCAAGTCTTCTGGTATATTGGGGCGATCTTGTGTCGTCTTACACCTTGTAGTTCGGTGTATGTTACCACGTTATCTACGTGATGATGCATACCGTTCTTCTAGTGTAGGACACTCAAAATTGTCTCTCCAACTATCCTGTGAATGATCTTATCTCGCTTTTTATGAGATGGATTTTCTGACTCTATCCTTGTGTTTTGTTGCAGTCGAGTTCCCCGCGGGCAGCCTCCCTCCTCATGCCACTACTGGTTGTAGCGGGGAAGTCTTCTCTTCGGCTTCCATCAGGCAGGCTATTGGTCCACTCCCTCAGTTCGACAGAGATCGCTCCGACGAATCCTGTCGTTTGATACGGGATGGAGGGCGCCATTGCTTACACCAACTGATTACGGATGCTTCCTTTACTGCAGATTCTACTTCTACTCAGGCTTTAAAGAAGCCCAGTTTTCTGTTCGGAGATCATATTGAGGATCCCGCTAAGTTGATTCTTACCGAGGAGCATTGGCTGAATCTTGATGAAGGAGCTCTCCTGTATATTCCCTCCATTCCTCGTCAATGTTCTTTCACCCATTTGGAGGGACAGGCCGTGGAGCGACAGATGTCTTGGCATCTTACCGATGATGCTGAGCGAGTTCAGTGTGGATATACCTCTCATCATAAGACTCCTGGTTCTGCTGGGTATCATTACATCCGCGGTCTTCGGCCAGGGATTACGGGTCTTAATACTGCACCCCCAGGCGAGGTATCAGCAGCCGCTCCTACCGTGAAGAACCGTCTGGCTCATCTTGGGAGGAGATTACCTCCACCAGATTATAGATGCTATGGTTGGGCTTTCTCACTACCCAAGGGATGGTGGACACGCATGACCAGTTACGTCTTGGGGCGCTGGGAGAAGGATTTGAAGAGCAGTGGATTGTATGCACATATACGAGCCACCATGTATGGACTCCCGGTCAGCTGCCGCCATTTCTTGGCGTTGTTGGAGACGTACATGCCTGACAGTAACACATTCCTGACCAGCGGCGGAGAGTTAGGGTTGGCCTTACACGAGATGTATCAGGTTTCTGGTCTTCCAATGGTGGATTGTCCATACCAGGAGTACTTTCCCTCGAACCAGCAGTTGGAGTGGTTGAAGAAGGATACTCCCGATATGTACGATACTCTTTGGGACCTCACCTGTCATTATCATACCTCCCTGATCCAGATTTCTCCTCCAGCGAAGAGGAAAAAGCAGATCAGCTTGAAGCAGTTTGCTGTCTATTTGTTCCCGAATTTGGAGGGTGATTCCGGCGAGCCCCTTCGTGAGTTAGACGTCTTGACCCCTACTGCCATTAATGAGTTGATGGAGAAGGCTGAGGCTCGTTCTTACACCATTGCCAGTGCTGAGGGAGCTTTTCCTGCGGGAACCAAGTTTCGTCCGTTCTTCCACCGTGCACAGAAGCCCATTGAGCCCCGGACTCTGCTAGCAGGCTATCTTGCCCTCTGGTTGAAGAAATGTGTTGTTCCGTACCAGTTCTCAGACGCCTTACCTCTCGAGGTGCTCTTCCCCGAAGTTCAGCTAGCTTATGGGAAGGAACTTTCTCTGCTCCTAGCGATGGTTGTTGGCATCCATTGCGGGCTTAGGTGTCTGGTCAGTAGTTTTACACAGGTGGGTTCTGAACCATCGACCGAGCTTATTTGTCCGAAGGTCGAGCTTCCTTATGCATATCTGATGGCGTGGCTTGTTCTTCACCGTCCTGACTTGATGTCGGCGCCCAGCCTTCCCTGCCGTTTTGCTCGTCAGTTCGGCTATGACCAACTATATGTTGGGAATCCGAGCCGTGGTTTGAAGGTTGAGGGAGGGCTTATTGACGGCGTACGAGCATGGTTATGGACTATGGTGGGCTGCACTGGAGCCCACTTTGCTCTTCCTTCATATAGACGCCAGCCGTTGATTACTTTCCTCAGTTGCAAGTGGTTCCTTTCCGCCAATGAATCCATAGGTGTGAGGAGTCTTTCAGAGTTACAGTCTGAGCACTCGGTCCAGATCGCTATGATGGCTGCTCGTAAAGCTGAGCTTGCTAGGAGACAGGGAAAGAAGCCTGCCAAACCTTCTCTCTCGAACGGAAACAGGACGAAGGACGATGAAGAGCTCCCTCCTACTGACAACGAGGACGAGACTCCTGAGGAGGAGTATGTGGATATAGATACTGACCAAGAAGAATTTGATGCAGGTTTGTCATGCTCTTTAACCTTCTTTCTCCATTTCAATTGGTATCAACGAACTGACTCTTATCACCCCAGGTAGGACAGTCGATGAGCACGAGTTGCTCGCTTCTCGTTATGCGAGATCCAGGCTTAGTGACCAAGCTCCCACGCATGTTGAGACGCGTGGCAAGTCCATGCATGAACGACCCGTTGGTTCTATGAGGGCTGGTACTCCGAAGAAGAAGAAGACTGCTCATAAACCACACGTCGGCCAGCGTCCCTATGGAGTGGATTTAGGAGACATCGCCGATGGAGAGGAAGGTAACATTTCGTCGTTTTCATTGCTTTAAGATGTCTCACCTTCTGGGATTCGTAATCATGTTTTATGTTCCAGGGTACTATGACGAGGGCGAGCTTCCACCAGACCCCGTATTCCCTGATTCTGATAATATGGATAACTTCGTGCAGCAAATGTGCGACGCCATTCGGGATGGTTCCCTGGGTGTTGATATGAACATTGACACCGAGCAGGCTAATAGTGTCAAGCCCACCACTCTATGTCCAGGTATATCTAAATCCTATGATACCCTCATCGAGTAGCATTTGGCGGAGTTAGAGAAATCAGGATTCATTATTTTTTTGTGCCTCCACGTTCTTTCAGATTTCCTGAAGAACTCAAGCATGGATATTGGGGAACAAGGATCTTTTGTTCCTGCTGCAGGTACTTCTGAGCTTTTCCTTCTTTCCCTTCTTCTTGTATATATATCCAATACTTAAATTATTCTGCAGATGTCGTGATAGAAAAGCCAGTTGAGGATCAGACCTTTCATGATGTGGGTTTCGAGGAGCAGAGGTGTGCCTCTGCACCAGGTTTCTCGGGACCCGACGCTGGATTATTAGTTGATATGCTGGCTGAGCAGGCCACCAAAGGAACCGTGGGACCACCCTTGGAGGGTGATACATTCACAGGTATATGTCTGATTCTCTTCATTCTGCCTGGTCTTTTGTCTGACTAACAAAGGATTAATATTGCAGTACCGGTCGTTGGGACTAACCCAATATTGATTCCCGGCATATCTAGCTTACCTCGGAGTGACGGACTTGCAGGTACGCATACGATCTAGGGATATCGTGCTCCTTTCTATTTGTCTGACTTTTGACTAATAGATGGGTGTAATCATAGGACCAGCCACCAGGACTGATACCTTTATGACTTCTGGTATCCCTCTTGCATCTGAGGACGATGGACTTGCAGGTATGCATACGATCTTATCATCCCGATTTCCTTATTTGTCTAAATTTTCATTTTGACTAATAAAGACATGTAACTCTAGGACCAGCCGTTGTGCCTGATGCCACTATAGTTTCTGGGACTGATAGTTTACCTGAGAGCGGTGTCTCCCCGCCACAGCCGAGAGGTATGACCGATTTTCCTACAGGGGTTGATATACCCTCCATGACTACTCCTGCAGTTATTTCGGAACCTGACGGATCTCAGCCTGAGGGGACCTCCGTTGGTATTGGTATGCTCGGAATTTGCCTTTAAATTTTCTTATCGTATTCGATAATCTCTTAACTTCCCATACTGTTGTTTGTAGGATCTCGATCATCTCTATATGAGCACGTTCGCGCCCTCTTGGCCGATACCGATCCTGACAGAGACATCTTCCGTACCGACCTCGGCTTTTTTACCGCCTTTTTTAACGGCATGATCGAGAAACTGCTTCATCGAGGATATTATTTTGATCAGTTCAGGCGCTCCTTTTCTCGTCACATGATGATGTTTATAGAAGAAGGGTATCCAGGGTTAGCTGATTCTTTCATTGCCGATTTTGCTGCTCTGGAGTCGGAGATCCGAGAGTTGAAGGAATTGAAGGCTAATGGAGCTTCTTCCTTCGTGTCCTCTCAGATGGAGCATAGGCTGGCAGAGTGGCGCGACCTGAGATCTTCCATCGGCAGTGAGCTTCAGTCACATGAGCATTCAGTTGCGCAGCTGATGGCTACTGTGGCGAGGAAGGATACAGATAGGGCCGAGCTACTCCGCTCTTTGGATTCCGGCCGCGAGGAATTGGCTAGGTTGAAGGAGGCCTTGAAGCACGCCGAGGAGTCTATTACTATCATTGCAGAAGACCTGGCTGGAGTAGAGCATTCTCGTGGACAGGCCCTCGAGAAGCTAGGATCTGCACAGGAGAGATTGATGAAGCTGAAGAATGAAGCCGTGAAGATCTTGAGCAGTTCTGAAGAATCCGTCCGAGCTGGTCTGCAGGCATAACTCGAGCAGAGTTATATAGATAGGCTTTCTAGTTTAGAGTCTCATGTTCTTAGCCGCCAGCTGCCTTCGGGCTAACGAGCTTTTTATTGTATGCTTTGACTTGATCTATTAATAGAGACTCCGCATTTGATTCCTTTATGGTATTTCTTTATTTATTTTGAACTCAGCGATGATAAGATTTACAGGATTTTTGGCAAACCCCCAGCCATCAACGGGTTTGATATGTCTTTACCGATTACCGTTTGAATCGGACTAGCATGTGAATTATTAAAACCCGCCTCACATGTAACGTTGTGCTAAGAGAATTTTTCTTAGACTTGATGCTATGATTTTGAATACATAGGCTTAACCATTTCTTATAGGGAAAAGGTACCCCGCGTCGCGTATTAGACGACGACTTATCCCTTCTTAGGCTTCGGGATAAAATTCCCCAGGCTTAGACCCTGGTGTCTTTTTCAATCGGCGAAAGACTAAACCGGCAATGTATATTAGACATAGACTTTGGGATTTTGGGCAAACCCCCAGCCTTCAACGGGTTTGATGTGCCTTTACCGATTACCGTTTGAATCGGGCTAGCATACGGATTGTCTAAATCCGTTCCGCATGTAACGTTGTGCTAAGAGAGTGAATTCTCTAAGACTTTGTGCTATGACGCCGAATACATAGGCTTCGCCTTTGTTACGGGAACAGGCTACCCGGCAACACGTGTTAGGTGTTGACTCATCCCTACTTAGGCTTCAGGATAAAATTCCCCAGGTTTAGACCCTGGCGTCTTTTTCAATCGGTGAAAGACTAAACCGGCAACGCGTGTTAGGCGTAGACTTATCTCTATTTAGGAGTTGAGATAAAATTCCCCGGGTAAGGTTCGAACGACCCTAACTTTTATAGGATTGGTCATTTGAATCAAAAGAATCCCTCATTCATTGAGGAGAAAGCCCAATTTCGACCCTAACTTTTATAGGTTTGGTGGAAAAAGGAACAAAGGCAGATTTTCGTTTATCGAAAAGGGATAACTCGGTCTTAGTCCTAACTATTTGTAGGCTTGACTAAGTGGGATCGGGAACAATCCTAACTTTTATAGGTTTGATTGTTCAAATTGAAAGTGGACCTCTCGTTCATGGAAGGAATCGAGAGAGGAATTTGGCTTTGGTCCTAACTTTTATAGGTTTGACCTGAAAGCAAAGAAAGTGGAATACAGGTAGCAAAGAAAATGCCAACTCGTATTATCACTCAAAGGAAGACTTTAACGCTAGGTGATTAGGACCTCACATGTTGAGTCTGAGAAATGCCAATGACTGGCAGATGAAAATGTTGGTGGATCCACCGTCAATTGGTTTGATCAGCAGATGGTTTGGTGAGGAAAGATTAACCTATCAGAGGATTGGATCTCATCTCACAAAAATAACTCATAAGAGTTAGAGAATTTTGATAATAAGAAGAAACGTTCCAACGTTCTGAATTCAAACAAGAATTTCTTATTCATCGCTTCTACAATGATTGGGTTATCCCTAAGAATTCCTCATATGATGTTCTTTTGGGAACTTCCCGATGCATTGGTCATCCCGAAGATACTAAGGATAGTATTTTTTTAGGAATTTGTCGTTTATCGGCATCATAAGTCGGTCACCGTCCTTGGTGACTAGGCGATATGCGCCACTCGAGTAGACTGTCTCTACTACGAATGGTCCCTCCCATTTGGGTTCAAATTTACCCTTCTTCTTGGAGTTAAGGATCATAGGCCGCCTTTCAGCTAGAACCAAATCCCCTTCTTTGAAACTCCGTTGTCGAACCTTTTTGTCGAAAGCTCGGGAGATTCTGGCTTGGTAGAATTCGATATGTTGTTGAGCTTCTAAACGCTTCTCATCTAGCCTTTTAAGTTCTTCAAGGCGCTTCTGATGTTGCTCTTCGGTCGTCATTTGAGTCGCGAGGGCAATTCGAAGCGACGGGATTTGAATCTCCAATGGAAGAACAGCTTCACATCCGTATACCAGTGAATACGGGGTTGCTCCCGTTGGTGTACGCACCGTGGTCCGATAGGCCCATAGAGCTGGGAACACCATACCTGTAGATGATATGGTGCTTGATGAATGCAATGACGTTACTTGTTTTAACTTCTCTGAGTGGAACTGCTTCAGCCCATTTGGAGAAGTAATCGGTAATTGCCAGGATGAATCGGTCACCTTTGACTGATGGGGGATTTATAGGGCCAACAATGTCCATTCCCCAAGTCTCGAACGGCCATGACGTAATCGAAGGATGCAGATGCTCCGGAGGTTGGTGCATATAATTCGCATGTATTTGACATGCATCACACTTTCGGGCATACGCGATTGCATCACTCATCATGGAAGGCCAAAAATACCCCATTCTTCTGATGCGGTCATAAAGTTTGGGACCAGGTTGGTGTGCACCACACTCTCCTTCATGTGCTTCTCTAAGGACTTCCTCAGCTTCTTTAGTCGATAAGCAGCGTGCCAGCAATCCATCGTACCCCCTGCGGTATAGCGTTCGATTCTCCGTATTATAGTAGAATCTTGGTGCCCTTCGTCGGATTGACTCTCTTTCCTTTACGTCTTCCGGTAGTATTCCGTGCAGGACGTAATCGATGATGGGGAAACGCCAATCTCAGGGTTCAAACTCAATTTGGGTTGAGTGTGTTTCCTTAATCTCTTCTTCTTCGTCCTCTTCATCATAGATCGGCACTAGGAGTTGGTGGGTCCTTACCGTAACGAACTTTTCTGTTTCAGGAGGCTGCGCCAGTGATACGGCTAATGCTGCTAACGCGTCTGCGTAGGTATTCTGTAGTCGTGGAATATGTTCGATAAAGAATCCTTCGAATGATTCTGCCATTTCCACTGCCATCTTATGGTATGGTATTAAATCTTGGCTTCGGACCACGTACTCTCCCTGAACTTGTTTAACTATCAGTTGAGAATCGCCGAAGGCTTCGAGGTACTCAACCCCCAGTTCTTTGGCGAAACTGAGTCCTATGAGTAATGCATTATATTCGGCTACATTATTTGAGCATGGTTCGGTCAACGAGTAAGCTCGAGGCATCACGTGCTTTGCTGGGGAAACTAAGACAACTCCAACTCCAGAAGAAATCTTAGAACTTCTAGGAGCACTTGCTACATTAGTTGCTCATGAAGCGCCGTCGAAGTACAAACGCCATACTTGCTGGTGCGAAGTTGTGTTGACTTCGTGGGTTTCATCGGGTAGGTCGTCATATATCTCGGCGGTGTCCGTAGTTGGATTAGCTGCTAGGAGATCACAGATGGCCTGCCCTTTTACTGACTTCTGTTATTTAAAATGTAAGTCATATTAGGACAAGAGTAAGGCCCATTTTGCTAACCGCCAGTTCATGAAAGCTGGTTGAGTCATGAATACTCGGACTGAGTTAACTTTAGAGATGACATAAATGGTCTGTCCAACCAGATAATACCGCATCTTCTGAATAGCGAACACCAAGGCGAGGCATTCTCTCTCAATCATAGGATATCGAGATTCGGCGCCTACCATGGTTCGGCTCAAATAATATACTGCCTGCTCATGACCGTTATCGTCATCTTATGCAAGTAATGCACTTAATGAGTGGCTCGTCGCCTTGACATAAATCAAGAACGGTTTGCCCGATTTCGGTGCAACGAGTACAGGAGGTTTCGAGAGATATTCTTTAATACTCTCGAATGCCTTTTGACAAGCGTCATCCCATACAAAAGATACGCCCTTCTTTGCGAGCTTGGAGAATGGCTGGCATTTTCCTGAGAGGTTCGAAATGAACCGACGGATGTAAGCCAATCGTCCTTGCAATCCCCTGAGCTCCCTGAGGTTCCTCGGAGGTTGTAATTCATTGATCGCCTTTACCTTATCAGGATCGATGTGGATACCTTTGGTGGTGACGACGAATCCCAGGAACTTGCCACTCGACATTCCGAGGAAAGACTTGGTAGGATTCATCTTCAATTGATGGGCTCGCATCAAGTCGAACATGGTCTTCAAGTCCTTAATGTGATCTTTTTTATCACGACTTTTCACGACCAAATCATCTATGTAGCATTCGACAGTCTTTCGGAGATGCTCCTGAAAGATCTTTGACATGGCTCGTTGATATGTAGCACCTGCATTCTTTAGGCCGAAGGGCATCACCGTGTAGCAGAAGACACCGAGAGGCGTTCTGAATGCGGTATGCTTTTCATCGTCTGGATGCATCTTTATTTGGTTATAACCAGAGAAACCATCCATGAAAGACATCCTTTCGAACCCGCACGTATTGTCGATGATGACATCCGTGATAGGAAGGGGAAAATCGTCTTTTGGGCATGCAGCGTTGAGGTCTCGAAAGTCGATGCAAATCCTGACCTTCCCGTTCTTCTTAAGAACTGGGACAATATTGGCAAGCCACTCTGGATGTTTCTCTTCCCTAACGAAGCCCGAGTCAACAAGCTTTTTAACCTCAGCTTCGATCGCCTCCATCATTTGCGGACGAAACCGTCTTTGTTGTTGTTTGACTGGTTTGGCATCCATCTTGATATTGAGACGATGTACTGCTACGTTCGGGTCGAGCCCTGGCATGTCTTCATAATTCCAGGCGAACACGTCGATGTACTCTCTGATAAGAGAGATTAACTCTTCTTTCTCCTCGGGTAGGAGACTGTCGCTAATGAATATCGGTTTAGGATTTTCCTCAGTTCCCATATTCACCTGGAGTACTTGATCTTCGGTAGGAGGCTCTCTTTGTTCGAACCTATCACCGTACTGCATGTTTAGATGATGAACCCAAGGGTCCTCCCAAGTCGGCATCTGATCGTCTTCTTCTATCGTAGCAGGGTCGACTGTAGCCATATTCGACATTTGCTTTTTGAACATTTCACCAAGACTAGTGTCGGAATCCTAAGCCGAAGAGTCAGAAGAATACCCGTTTCTAGCTCTGTTAGCAATTTGATCGATGACCTGCCAACAGCACTCGTCGTCGGATGATGAGACGTAACCTAGACCTCTTT